TTTTTGGGCAAACACCGCCCCCATGGGGGTGGGTATTTTTTCCCGATTCCTTTTAAAACCAAAATTTCGGGCCCGGCAGCCCTCAAATAGAAATTGGTTCCAAGGGTTTAAAAACCAAAAGAGTTGGGGTACCCCAATATTTTTTCCCCCCCCCGGGCCCAGTTTTTTGAACATCCCCCCTTTCTTTTAAACCCATCCCCCCCCCCCCCCCCGTTTTTTGGGCCCTTTTCCCCCCCCCCCCCCCCCCCAACAGCCTGGGACGCGTACATCGACGGGGGCGAAGCGACCGTCTTGACTGACGGTACGTCGGCCACCCCGTCCGCTGATGTGGTGTACCTGACCACACTCACGGACCCATTGATGATGATCCCTGTTGATGTAGTCGACACCGGTGCTTACGCCCTCCTGTTCGAGCATGGCTCTGACGAGGTGGGAACAGCTCTCGTGTCTGAATCTGGCGATGTTTTGGTGGGCACAAGTGAGGAAGGAGACGAGGAGGAGGAAGAAGAAGAAGAAGAGGAAGATTCTGAATCAGCGACGGCAGCGCAGTGGGGGAACGCGATCTTGGCCACGGTTATTGTATCCCTCTGCAGGTCAGTGAAGGAATTTTCGTCGTTGATGTTTGCACCAACGCATCCTCTGGTCGGGTAGTGCACGATGATCGAGTTGCCAAATACAACCTTCTTCGAAGCGGGCGTCATGAGTATGTGGTCGATGACTCTCCCGCCTCCCTCAAGAAGAACGCGTTAGTAAGTGACGTTTGTTGTATCCGTCTGTGGGTAAGTGAAGTAACATTCGTCGTTGATGTTTTTACCAATATTTCATCTTGTCGGGTAGTGCACGATGAACGAACGGACGACATGAACGCCGATTGTTTTTTGAAGAGCGTGTCATGAGTGTACCGTCGATGACTCTCCCGCCTCCCTCACGAAAAACAGCTTCAGTCGCGCCCGCCCTGTCTCTAATCTAACTCCCCGCCCTCCCATCCCCATTGTACACCTTCGCGCCCCAGCTTCACCGGCATCTTGACGATCATCAACCAGAAGGTGGCAAACGCCATCGGCCTCTCGCACACTTTCACCTTCGCGTCCGGCGCGCTCCTCACCGCCTCCTTGTTGCACATCGTCCCCGAGTCGCTCGAGGGCATCGCGGCGGAGTACGACCACCTCCATGACGCTGGGCTATGGGCTGGCCTCGCCATCCTCGGCGGGATCGGGTTCAGCATCCTCATCCACGCCCTATTGGAGTCCGGCCACGGCCACGGCCACGGCCACGGCCCCACCGAGACCATTCAGGCGGCGACGGCGGCCGTCGGAGACGGGCCGGCGCCAGCGGGTACGGCGCCGCTCGCGCTCACGGACAAGGTGACCCCTGCAAACCTGTGGGCCTTGATCTCCGAGAGGAAGGAGAGGTCGCTGTTCGACCTGAAGGGCCTGAAGCCGGTGTGCTGGAATGTGATCGCCGGTGAGCTGGTGCACAACTTCGCGGACGGCGTGACCATCGGAGCGGCGTTCCTGACCTGCGGGTCTTCGATGGGCTGGACCATCACGGCGTCCACTGTGCTTCACGAGATCCCCCAGGAGCTGGCCGACTTCATAGCGCTCCTCGCCGGGGGCATGAGCCTCAAGCAGGTGCGCTCATCCCTATTGATATGTATGTTTTGTGAAAAAAACTACAGTAGCGTAGTGCGGGGCCGCGTGCGGCTGGTCGGGTTCGATGCTCGGTGTTGTGGGGAAGACCAAGACTCTCGATATGCATACAAGGTTCATCAATCCTCATCCTTGTTTGATCGAGGAGTGTTGCCCCCGCCGCTGCTGCTATGCATACCACGACTCAGTTCACACATCTTGTTGGGGCTTGACCAAGACCAACCTGCCTCACGCGTGGATCTTTCGCAAATCCACGTTGCCAAGGCACATGCAAAGTGATTATGAATTACAGTACGGGCCCGCAAATTAAGCAAAATTCCGTTAAGAAAGAAAGGCTCAACTTTTTACGAAAGCTAAGAAAGAAGGACTAAGAAACACAGCTCAATCTCGGCCACAACACAAGAAACGTCCCAATAAGAAACATGATCGTACGATACCCCCAATACATGAGAAACAAGGGTTGCTGGGGGGGCGTATCCAACAAGGAACGTTCCACTGTGCTCCTTCCGTGCTCCCACTCCCCCCGTACCTGTGTAGGTGGACAACGTTTTTTTCGTAGGGGGGGAGAGTGATTGTTGGCGCTGCCCCCCCCACCTCCGCGCTATATAGCTACTCGGCGCCTCCGCGGACTGCTTTACCCACTGCTGCATGAATGTTTGGTGTTGTTGTATGCATTTTCTTCGCCAGAAAATAACGCAAAAAAGGTTAGTTGATATTGGTGATCAAAGAAAATGAGAAATAACAGAATAAAGAGGAACACTATAGTCCAAAGGAACAAGAAATGCCTTCTAAGAAAATGGACGACTTCGGCTGGTCCTTCGACGCAAAATAAGGGATTGAACCTCGACCCGATGTTGGCGTTTCTTATCTCCGGGCCCGTACTGTATTCCTTGCCGTCGTCGCCATCGCTGTTTCGTGGTGACCCAGGCGTTCCTGTTCAACTTCTTGTCGGCCCTGACTTGCGTCCTGGGCGCGGTTGTCATCCTTTCCCTGAGGAGCCAACTCAGCGACGCAGACGTCTCGGTCATTCTCCTATTGGGTTCCGGGTCCTTCATCTTCATCGCCCTGACCGAGCTGCTGCCTGGAGCCCTCGAGGTGACCAAGGCCGAAAGCGACAAGGCTGGGGGCGCCGTGATGTGCAACCAGATGAAGAAGCTCGGGTCGTTCGTGCTCGGCGCAGCCCTGATCGGGGGCGCTCTCATCTTCGACCAGCACTGCGAAGCAGAGGGTCACGACCACTGAGGTCACGAAGACCTTCGTAGTTCCGAAGCTATTGGGCTTGAATGAAGTCTGCCTGGCGATGCGACCAAATGCCGGCTTGCGTGGCATATGTAGCTCGAGCAATTGTTCGTGTTTTTTCAGGCGCAAACGTTTCCGTTCGAGGATTGCTGTTGTCCTGTTGCGGTGGAACGTAGGTCTGTCAACGTGAGAGCAACCCCTCAGTTTTCGGTCAGGATTTGTTGTTGTCATTTGCTCTCTCCGTGTAGGTGCATATCTGACTTGCGGTGCCCATTGCGACCAACGGCCTGTCGTGTTGACATAAATTTCCATTATCTCGATGCCGACGATATAGTATGGGTCGAATACCTCGTCCAAGTAGTGTGTTCATGGAGAGTCGTTCGAGTACACACAACCGTCGATACAATTGGCCCCGCCCCGCTCGAATGTGTGTAAGAATAGGAGAAGTACAGCGAGGGAGAGGGTTGGTAGGAGAGGGAAAAGAGAGAGAGAGAGAGCGATCGAGAGGAGAGATGAGGAGTTGTGACAGACTAAGGTAAAAACATACACGTGATGTTTCGTTGATGAAATATGTAACAAGTACCCTATTTCCGTAATAAAGATGCGTGCGTGTACAGCGAGAGCTGGTTAGGTAGTGACGCACGCAAACGCGTTGAGTGGGTTCACTAAGTATGGGCAACTGTCTCCCATGTGATGGGAGGGGTTTTTTGTTGACGTTGGGGCGTGTTTTGAGACTTTTTCTCGATAGCACGATCGTAGTGGAACCGACGTGCGGCAGAGGAGTGCGGCCGGGCGCTGAAACCTTGAACCGTGTTTACCGGGCCAGGATACGGATGTTTGTGTATAGTACCACCGCTTTTCGGTGTGTCAGTTGGTGTCGATGAGGTTTAGCTATTGCGAGATGTTTTATGCTTTCACTGGCTACCGGAAAGGGGAGATCGAAAAAATGTACGTAGTTGTACGGTTATACCCATGGCACGCGTGTTCCCTGTTGATGAGTGCTTGATGCTTGCACAGGCTGCCGGAAGGAGCCGATCGAAAATATTCGCCCATTTGGAGACATGTTCTCCACTGCAGTTCATGGGTCTCCCCCGCCATTTCGACGTTCACGGAAAAATGGTATTGCTCGAGTCGGCCACGAGCTTCAAGATCTCATTGCAATTTGATTGTCGCCATGTTGCCGAAACCAATCGTTTCCTTGTTTGGTTGGGTGCGTATCACTTCAAATCAGCGCTCGCAGCACTAGTGCCGTTTACTCCAACCCGTGGTCACACAGAAGGGCCCCCTCTCTATCCCTGCCCTCCTGCGGTACGTTGCCTTCGATTTATAATGCGAGAAGAGTTCAGCACTCTCTTCCCTCTGTGTGCACACGAACTAGCGCGATATACTACGCCAGGAGCGTAAGCGAGAGAAAAACTCACTTTGCAAGAAAAGCTCGCGTACACCGGGATTTGAACCCCTGAACTGATAGAAGGATTCGAGGAACCAACTACTAGACAACCGTGGCGATATCTTGTCAGAAACATGGGACATGAGAAATGGTTCTACCACCCAATTCCACATGATAGATAAAATTTCGGGTTCCGTGCCGAACGCTGCACATGTCGGTGACTCGTCCGTCGCATTTTTCCGGTACGTGTGAGCCGTTAGCCAATAGTGTGGAGCCACTTACAGCAGTACTGCGATTTGCTCTGCAGCAGTACGTTCGATCCGACCGAAAAACGAGGGTCGATCGTACGAAGCCTTTCGTCCGCAGGTTCAAGGGCTGAATGCATCTTGCCTTCAATAGAATGCAGTAAGGTGCTTCCGAGGTATTGGCTGTTGTTGTTGTAGTTGTCTGCAAATACATGTATGTATGTAAAACCGTTCCGTTCTCTCTACCCAGTAACTTTTTCTGTCCGTTCTATAGGGCTGTATCGGTAGCATAAAAAGATATAATATATATCGTGTTTCGGCGTGTTTCGGCTCGCCGAAACACGGTATATTCCCGATATGTTGGCGAAGAGCCCCGCCGGAGGCATATTTTTACGCGATTTGGCTTCACTAGAGCTATTTTTTTGGGCGATTTTGGGCCTCTCAGATGATGCCGGACTCGAGTGCGAAACACAAAAAAATGAAGTTTGTAGTGGAAAATCAGAAATATTGTTGGGGAAATTTCCTTGATGCACACACTGAACATATTCATGAACAAGCTGCTCTGAAACATCTTGCTAGAACCAAGGAGAAAGCAGGTTTCAGGTTTCACAACCCATCCTCCTTCCTCTAGCCTCCGTCCTCACTTTCATTGAAACATCGTACGCAAATAATAAGGCAGAACAAACCCAGAACCCAAACCCAGCACAATCTCACAATCTCATGCAACCCAGCCTCACGCTGAGCAGACCTTCCGGTACTAACCGATCTTCGCAAGCAAGATGCATGCCACAGCCAAAAAGAAATGTAGAAATGTAAGTTCGTTAGGTTTCCGACTCTTCTAGACGCTGACGACAAAAACTGAAACCAGCAACCAGGTGTGCAGGTAAGATCTAACAGTAACGGACCCTCCGTCGTCGCCTGCTGCTGGCTGGTCACTCGTGGCGTGCTAACTCTGCTGTTGCTGTACCCTTGTCTGCCAGTGTCTGCGCACACAGCACCTACCTGTGCTGTGGGGTGCTGTACGGGGGCTCCATGTGCTATATAAATGATTCACGGAGCCCCTTATGCATTCACAGAACCCCCCCAGAATATCGTAATATCGACATCCCCCACGATAGATATACGATGTGATATATATTGGTCCGATACTTTTGAACATATCGTTACCGATACACAGCCCTACCGTTCTAGTCTAACACTTGAGGCGGTCGATTCCCGTCGTCACAGGCTAGCTTTCCCTTCCAAAAAAAGTATACTGCACGAAAAAAAACAAAAATCCTGTGAAGGCCACATTCTAGATAAATATACATAACACATGACATAACGGAGAGCTTCTCCCCGATAGTTCTGTCGTCGACCCAGTATAAAACTGCTGGGGATGTGTCAAAGAATGCATCCGCCTATACAAATGGTTTTGTTCTTAGCACCAACTGGCATCACTGATAACTCCGTGTAAGGTTTACACAAACTCAAAATAAGCCCAGTCTCCAGTCGGTTTCAATCCACTTACTTACTGAAAAGACTTCACAGCCCTTTCGACTGAGGTTATATCTCGAACGGGTAGTCTTTCTGTGAGACTATGTTCACTTTCTAAAAATAAAATGGACCCGAAGGTTCCCCAAGTCAATAGAACTCAACGACAGATAGTCTAGGACACTCCGCTCGCCTCTACACGCAATGCGAGGCACCCATATATATGCTGGAAAAATGAAAGAATTTGAAAACGAAAAAGAAGAGAGCGGCGAAGGTGAATGACGCTACTAAACATCAACATGCAGCAGGCAGCAACGCTGGCTCTCCAACAGCCTACGTGAACGAGGTGCAAGCATGATCTGCGACACGTGGAAGAAGTCTCTTCGTTCGATATCCGTGTGGTAGAACGTGTGGTTTATTTTCCCTAAACCAATGTTACGTGGTGATCTTATTCATTTCTAACTGACTCACTCTGTACATGCCACCAACGATGATTTGATGCACATCTAACCTGTGAACGAAGATAGATACATCCGCCGTGAAATTGTGAAAAGTTCGCTCAAGCTGGCGTTGGATGCAGTAGCGATTACCACAACAAGTGAATCGACAGCCATAGCTGCAGTTATGGTACTCGACAACCCGCATGTGTTACTGTTTGGGGCGCGTGATCATTGTAGACTAAATATCGTGCGGAAGGTACGGTAAAGGACTGAAAAAATATATGGATACGACATTTGCATACAAAAATAGAGGGGGGATTACCAAAGAGGAGGGCCTTTGCTCAATGATGGTCCTCTGCACTTGGTTCTGCGCATATCATGTCACATGTATGTTCGTTCGTAAAACGTTTTCCATGGGCAACACGATCAAGAGCGTACGACATGTCATGTCGCGACTCTATAACCACAGCTTGAAATTCTCTCCTTTTTTCGGTGCGCTGGTGGAAAACAGATTGATTTGAATATTTTCACAATGCCAAGATGGACGATGGTATGTCACCAGCAATGCATCGTCACGGCTCCATCCTTGGGCATGTTCATATTTTCCTTTCTACCCATCCAGGAAAGACACAGTGGTTTGGTCCACGCCGGCAAGGAAACGCACCCTCCCGTCGTCTAGTAACTAATAGGTGGACACACAGGTGGTAGCGTAGTGGTTGACAGGTCGCTGCTTGTTGGTGCTGTCTGCTCAAGACAAGCCTCCTGCGCTCCTGATCAAGCTGAGCGTTTTGTCGGGCTGATTGTGTATGGCGTGCACCACTCCCTCTGTGATAGTGCGTACAAAGGGGGGATGGCAGGAACGCAGACGTTGGGGGCTGGGGAAGTTCAACTGATGATATACTTCGCGCTCCCTTGATCCTCGAAGGAACCGGCAGCGTTCGGGAATGAATCAACAACGTTCGCAAACCACGAAAACATGACGGGATAGACATAACTTCAAGGCAACGGATGGAGGTCGAATACCGATCTACATAGTACCCGTCTTACCGGCGTCCTTCACACGCCAATCCATCCGTGTGAAAGCCGTGGCCCAAATCTTCAGTTCCATTCGAGCTTGCGGGTCACGTCGATACTACATGATACCCACAACAAGAAATGACCAGGTAACTTGACGAACACCACTCATAGAGAGTAAACTTGCAGATAGTTGAGGTTCCAGTCCAAGAGCTGTGCGCAGAAACAGGAAGGCACCAAGTTACCACCGCAGAGCTCTCGACGATCAAGTAGAGAACACCTACTCAGGACTCACCCGTCTCTGTGAGCTTGCTGCCGACTTGGTCGACGATATGACTGCGCACCACCTGAAAATGCTGCCGCATGCAATCTCCCAGCAGCTTCACCTGCGCTTGCACCTTCGCAGCCTCTTCGTACTTCTGGTCCCGGGGGTACACAGCGCGTGACAGACGTTGCACCAAATATTTTTCAATTCTTCAACCCCAGTTCTACCATCCATGCCATTCTGCGTCGCTAACGTTTAGGATCTCCAAGGGAAGAACGTGCTCACTAATTATTGCCTGGCTGGCCAGTCATTCAGATAGTGCGCGCACTTCAAAAGCTGGGAGTTAAGAACCTCTCGTTTTGGTCAAGGCTGGCGTTCTTGTTTCAATCGTGGGCTACAAAATATTGGATGCTATATACTGGTATGTTTTAGTGTAGATGTTCTCAAGTGTGCGGGCGCTTTCTGTAAAGAGAACATTGTCCACGAACATCAGACTAACGTGCGGTACCTCGCTGAGAGAGTCGACGGCCTCCTTCATGGTTCTTTCCTGCTCTTCCATGAGAGCCGAGGCGAGGTGGTCTTCCTCCTCAAGAGCCGCGTGCAGAGACCCCAACGTTGACCTGCGCGTTTTCGTGTTTGGCGGAGCTTCGCGGATGTGTGAGGTTCCAGGGCTTGTTGCGCAAGAGATGGTAAGCTCCCACTCGACCCTCCCTACTTGGCTGATGTCTCAGCACATCGAAAACTTCACCCACCGAATTTGAACCACCTATCTGAACGGTTATTGGTTCTATCCGATTATTTTCATACCAGCCCCTACTTCGTATGGTACCATATTTTTACCTGAGCTCGGTGGCAAGCTTGTTCTGGCCGGTCCTAACTTCGTCCACTCTCTTGGACGCATTCCTTCGGACCCCAGCGGCCACGGCTTTGGCTTTCGCTGAACGACGCGGGAAACGAATGAATGTGGATATGCAGAGACGACATCAAGTTTACGAATCCGCCACTATCGGGACACTTAGCATGACCTGCCTGAAAAAACACCCGGAAATATCAGATTTCTTACAATAATGACTGGTTGAGATCCTAGCCATGCATGCGGCGTCCGAAGCAGGAAAGACCTTCTTTCCAACAGGGCTAGAAGTGGATTTTTTATTTGAGTGCATGACGTGCGATGCACCGCTGTCCGCTGTTGTATTGGCTCCGGGTAGAGAACAGTATATGATAGATATACTTGTAGCAATGCCAAGTGGTTGTAGGATTGTGTGGTACGTGGAATGTATTTCCAGGGTGTGCAAGGTACCCCTGTTGTATACTGCGTCGCCCCCGTACTGATGGTGCGTGCGCGTGTGCGTGCAGTTCGTTCATGTGTTCATGTGAGTCCATGTTTTTCATGTGAAGAAGAAGTCTATACAACAAGCCCAGCACATCTTTCCTCCTTGGCGCGAGTTCGCCGAGTTGCCGACACCCTATTCAACACACGTCTTGCGACAAGCTACCCCCAGTTCGGATCATCCTAACACGCTAGGGTGTGATATCACACGGGATCCCGAGGTGAGGTTAGCTATAAAAGGGTTCGGCTAGAGAAGTAGATCATGGAAGCCCTCGACCTCAGCAGCTTAACTGAAGAGGACCGCCAAGCATTATCGGCGCACATCAAAGAGGAAGTGGAGAGAGGAGTACAAGAAAAAATCAAGTTTACCGAAGAGAAGCGTCCCGCATCAGAGAGCGTGGACAAGCCCCCCGATGGAGGCGATCCCCGGCATGCTCGGCCGGCTGGAACAGCGTTAGACCCGCAACCTGAAGACCAGCCACGATCGTTGGAGGACCGTCTCGTTGAGTCCTTCGCGCGGGCAATGCGGAGGACCAACACTCCGGGGGAGGAAACCAGGGAAGTCTTACCCCCTAAGGACACCATTCGTGTCAGTCCTGTAATACATGTAGCCCCATTTACGGGTGTGTTCGATTCGAGGGTCGATGTCCAGGTTAGAGTGCAGGTTTTTGAGAGCCAATTTCGGATGTTGCTGCAACAAGAAGATTGCCTGAGCGCGATACAATCAGAAGAGACGATCAAGGTGGGGAAACCAGATGCAGACATTCCCAATCTGAAGGAGGAGTATGGTAGGAGGGCCGTAGAGAAGGCTATGAAGGCATGGCAGCTAATACTGGCGAAGATTCAGGTTGCATCGATCGTTCCAGCCATTATCTCTAGTGGTTGCCCCACGGAATCATGGAGGATATTCCGAAACTACTTTGAAGTGCACGCCCACACAGAAAAGACTAGCCTCCAACTAGAGTGGCAACAATTGACGCAGAAGGGAGACCAACATCCCAAAGAGTACCTGTCGAGAGGGTGGGTGATAAGGCAAAGATTGTCGTCATGCGGCGTGATGATAACTGAAGATGATGCCAACAGACACCTCGTGCGCAACCTCCTCCCGGATTATGATGTATACACAGGTTTTCTCATGTCCGAGAATGGTCTGGAGAGGGAGAGGGTAGAAAGAATCATAGTGAATGCTTGGGCGGAGATGGAGGCGAGAAGGAAGAAGAAGCAGGAGAGCGTGGGGGCTTACGCCCTCGTCACTGGCGGTGAGAACCGTAGTGGCGGGGGAGGGAACACGGGGGGACCAGGGCAGTCGAGAGGACAACGGAGGACGGGAGCGCGACAACAGCAGCAACAACCGCAGCAGCCACAGCAGCAGAATCAGCAATACTTCTATCGACAGCAACAGATGTACCCGCCGCCGCACCCGCCCGAGATAAGATATTGTGACCTCCACAACACCCCGTCCCACAGCAACGATGAGTGTCGCTGGCAGCGAGGTTGGGGAGGTCCCTCGGGCAGCCAAGATGCGAGATACGGCGGAAGGTACGGGCCCCAGCATGGGGGCCGGGGCTTTTTCTGGAGGAGGACGTCATCAGCAGCAGCTGGCAAGAGGAAGACACGGTGGACGTGGCGCCACTCCCGGTGGATGGGGCAGAGGCCCTCCTCACCAGGGAGCACCAGGCGGCAATCTTCCCGCCTACCCCGTGCCTCAGCAGGGGTACGACTACAGCGCTTACCCTCCGAACATCTACCGCCCCCAAGGAAACGAGCCACCTATCCACGCAGCAGATCCGAGGAAGCGGTGCGAAAACTGCGGTGAGATGGGCCACAACCACATCTTCTGCCCTTCACGGGTGGATGTAGGCAGACCAGCCGGCCAGCCCGCAGCGCCCGCACCGCCCCGGCCCCCGGCCGCGGGATACAACACCCAGCGGCCACCGTGGGCGCACTCCTACGGCCAGGCTAACGCCGCACAGCAGTACGGCGGAGAGGCGCACGAGACAGGAGCGGCAGCAGGCACATCAGCAGGAGCGGCGGCAGAAGCGCAAAAGCAACCGGTGATGCCCGTGAGCGGCGTTTACCATAATCCTGTGACGCACGCGAGCGGCGTTTACCAGTACCCGCCCCAACAGCAGCAGCCGGAGTACCTTCCCCCCCCCGTGCAACAGCAGCAGCAGTCCATCCCCAGCCCGTACGCTCCTCCGGCGCCTTCGACCGGAACGTCTCCATCGGCTGGTGGGGATTTGCATGCGTGTGTGATGTGGGCTTTTCCACGTGAGTCAGAGAATGGTGTGCTTGTAGAGCGTAGGGTCGAAGGATATGCCATGATGAACATGATAGATGAGAGTGTAGGAGACGAAACTTGGCTTGCAGACTCTGGCGCAACGAACCACTCCACAGGAGACCCTAGGTGCATGTACGATGTGATGATTCCTCCCCCTGGTAGCGAGCGAGTGGTGATTGGAGATGGAAGGATTATATCTGTACTTGGTATCGGGAGCCTGAACGTAAAGTTCCACAACGGTAGGAGCGAGTTTTGCGTGAAGCTCACCAACGTACGCCACGTTGAGGGAATGGATTTAATTTATTTTCGCTTCACAAGGCCATGGGCGGGCAACGCATAGTAATGGATCCTGTAGGCATTCACCTATTCGACGGAAATTTAACTTTTCCCCGTGGCGAGCGTGGTTCATCGTTGAGAGCCACTCGCCTGCCCCCGAATTACGGGACGCCCATTGCTGTGCCCGTGGCAACGCCGTTTCCCCCGCCCGCCCCTCGCTCTGCCGATTACGTTAGTGTGAGTGGTGTTGAATCTATGCATGCAATCCCCCGCATGCAGCCTTCCCCCCAAGGTGTAGCGTACGTGCCCCCTCCCTCGGTGTCTAGTGTACCGCCCACTGTCGCCAGCGCCAGCAGTGTAGTACCTCCAACGGTGTCTAGGTTCCCGCCCACTGCAAGCAGTGTCGTTCATCCATCTGCTCCGAGGAGCATAGTGCCGTCCCATGTCTCTGGTTTCCCGCCCGCTGCCAGCAGCGTAGTACCTCATGGTGACCCCCCCCACAGGAATATTTTTCATGCACCCGTGTCGAATTTTCCGCCCTCTGCTACCGGCGTAGTACCTTCCACGATGTACGGTTACCCTCCCGCTGCAAACAGCGTAGTACCCTCTGCTGTGTCCGGTGTCCCGCCCGCTGCGAACAGCGTCGTTCCTCCGGCAATGTATGCCCCCCCCCTCGCTGACAGGAGTGTGGTTTTTTTCTTCCGCTCCTCAAGTACCTCATGGAATGGAGTTGGTAGGTGTTCCCGGGCTGCCCTCGCCCGACGTCTCCGTTTTTCAAGAGAGTATTGATGATGATGACCGTGGGTGCATTCCGTTCATGGAGCAGGGAGATTACGAGTGGGCTGTGTACCTCTTAGAGCGACGAGAAGAATCAGACGACCCCCATGAATTTTTGGAGTTGATGTTTGAGTCTGGCTTTGCGAATGTCTTCGATGATGTTGCCTTTGCCGTCCCAGTCATGGCCCCGGGCAAGCGACCTTTTTCGGTGGGGAAACCCACCACCGTTGTTGACATTAATCTTCTCCACGTCTCGTGTTCCCATGCGAATGAGTTTTTGTTGCGTGAACTTTCGAAGCAGCACGGCCTCCGCCTGACCGGTGTTCTGCAGCCTTGTGGTGGTTGCATACAGGCGAAGGGGAAGAAGGCGGGCGTGCCCCATAAAATGGGCGCGCGCGGGAGCGGGCCGCACGATCTTTGGCACATCGATCTATGTGGGCCCATGACGGCGTCGCTGGGGGGATCATTTTTCATGATCATGTTCGTGGACAGTTTCTCGCGGTGGATGAAGCTGTACGGGATGAGGCGCAAGTCGGACACCCTCGCCTTCGTCAAGAAGTTCCTCGCCGACATGAGTGGCACCGGTGTTCCTCGTTCTTTCCGGATGGACAACGGGGGGGAGTTCCTCAGCCACGACTTCATCGCCTTCTGCGACAACGCCGGCATCCGCCGTACGTACACGGCGCCGGGCACTCCGCAACAAAATGGCCCGGCGGAGAGCGCGATCTGGCGCGTGAACAAGGCCGGCCACGCCGCTCGTCTCGAAGCATGCCGCCTGTTCCCCAAGATCGACTTCACCCGCATCCCTGGCTACGGGCGCGATGGCGAGCGGCTCTGGCTAGAGTCATCTCACTGGGCTGCCGGCGGCTTCAACCGTTCCCCGACCACGGCGAACGCAGGGTACAAGTCGCCGCACGAGCTCTTCACCGGTCGCCCGCCCCCACTCCAGATCGTCCCGTTCTTGCAGCCGGGGTACATGCGTGTGACGCGTACGCGGAAGATGGACCCCCAGGCAGTGCTGTGCTGCTACCTCAACAATGGCGACAACCACCACGACTCGGCGGTCAAGGTTCTCAAGTTTGCTACGGGGCGCGTGTGCATGACGAATAACATTGTATGGGTCTCCGACCGCGCGCCGTTGCTGACCCCGCCGCTGGAGCTGCCGGCGCCGGCGGGCGAGGGGGGGGATTCAGATGTCGCCGCCGCACCGACGTTTTTAATTGAGTACATTGCACCGCCTCTCTTACCCCCCTCACCGTTCGCCCGAACCCCCACTTCACCCGCTGCCATACCCTCACAGGCGCCGCCGGCAACTTCCACACCACCATCGCCGGCGGCGCCGTCTACCGCAGCCCCACCACCGGTCACCACCACCGCGCCGCCTGCAACGCCGTTCGCCGCCGCGCCACCGGTCACCACCACCGCGC